TGGTTTGGTGAAAAGTTTGTGCGTTTAGGCCAGGGTTTGACTTCGTGTGGACGGGGCCTTAATCTCTGCGTTTAATTTAGATATTACCTGGGAACGATATCGTATATCGCGATATGCAGTATCGTGATACTGTATCCTAACCCAAGTATTGTGATGAGATTGCTAATAAAAATGATAAAGTATTTAAAACCTTTATTTCTTATAAGAGACTATGTATGCAATTAAGTAAAAAAAAAAAAAACTGTGGGAGACATTTTGACAAGGCAGAAAATAGCTTTAAACATTAAGGTTAATGTTAAATATAGTGTTTTTAATAGAAGTTTCCTCGAAGTTTTCCTCGTGTGTTGTGTCCTTGTATTCTTTGTATATGCGTGATGTTGCTGGGTTTATGTTCGTAGAGGATTTATACAGAGGGGTGAGTTTCTAACTCTGAGCTATATTAATTTTCTCAGTGAAAATAAGAGTTTGAGCGGAAAGTTTGGATTATAACAGGCAGGAAATGCAAATTCGAAAAACAAGTACTTCGAATAAATGGCCTCTTTAAAAAAAGATATCGAACAGATAGCAAAGTGTTTTATCAGGCAATGTGAGGCCTTTATCTCCAAGACCCCTAAGGTATTCCCAAACATTACTCAGCCGAACGATTCTGGTGAGAAGAGCTTCAGGTCAGGCTTAAGGCTATAAGAGAAAAGAAAGGAAAAACTTAGGTGAGAAATGTAAAGTAGGTTTTATTGCAAGATTTTTACTTTTTAGAGCTTTGATTCCAGTCATGTGCTTTTAGGGAAAATAATAGTGTTTCACAACGATGCAAATATAATAAACTAAATGTTTGCAACTAGTGGTATAATAAAGTGAGCCAGTGTTACATTTGAGTATGCAGAAGAACAAGAAGGAAAGAACTGATGTTCCTCTTTCAAAGCTATGGAAGCCCAAGGAGTGGATTAGTGAAAAAGAAATCCAGATTTTCCAAAAATTAAATCTTCATAAACAAAAAATTAGACTAATTGATTACATTAATTGCCCTAGATGTTCGCTTTCATGAATTGCATCCATGCAGTGCCATGTGCGGCTTTACGTTTTTAAATGTGAGTGTTTGCATTAATTTTTAAAGGTGTACATTTAAATGCAATTTTTAAAAAAAGAGTCAAATTGGGCATTTAAAGATAAATAAAATGTACATCTAGTAATATAGGGTGATCGGCTCACTCAAGGGTTTTCAAATCACAAAAATCTGTTTAAACTCTCTTGGCAGCCATCTGAATGAATGTGTTTTAAAAGAGGTTTTTGAAGTAAATAAGTAGAAATCTTTGCAATTTGCCTGTATGCCTGTTTGTCATGTGGAATCATATTTTTAATGTTGCAGAATAAAGGTTCTAAAGGTAAATATAAGTATTGCCGAACTCATAAGTCAATGGGCCTTGAAATGATTGAATTAACCTTTTTTGTACTGTCTGCATTAAATTAAAAGTCGGAGACTGTTCAGTATTGGGTTTGATTTTAGAGGCTATCCGATTTGTGTATCACCATAGCAACAGTTTTGCTGATTTTCTCTATACAAATTCCAGCTCGTCTTTGATGCGGTGTGGCCTTAGCCTCCCATTATAGCTATTTGCATACTCTGCAAAAAACACAGAAATATTGTTTTGTTCTCTAGGAGCAAGAAAAGTTAATGTCTCACCATCTTAAATTTCCCATCACATTAAAAATCATTGTTCTGATTTCTGCATGTGAAATAATGGGGGGATCATCTTAGCTTTACCTACATAACACCCATTGCTAATCCCAATGAATCTCAAAACTTTTTTAGGGGCCCCTGTGATATATATATATATATATATATATATA